TGAGGCCAGATTAACACCTTGCAAAAGTGGAGTTTCCAGATTTCTACCTATCAGTCTTTTTCACGTTTTGAGATCTATCCTGTTTCTTGATGTTTCTTTCCTAACTCAGTCTCACTACCATCACTGCCACCATCACAACATCTACTATTACTTGTCTTCTCTCTGTTTCTTAGTTTTTATTTCACTTACACCTCATCTCTAGCGTCATTCTCACATCTTTTTGTTAACTCTTGCATTTACGTGCTAATTTGCTGCTATCCATTGATCTTACTGGCCACCTGATCCAATTTCAGCTCTGCATATGCATCTTGGCTCTGAGTGGCCCCTCCTAATGGCTGCCCCCTACCTTCTTTTTTCCTGTAAATAACCCTTGAGGAGATCTTATTCCATTTGTCTGAAGAAGTGTGTATTGCACATGAAAGCTTACACTTTGAATAAAACTTTGTTGCTCTTAAAGGTGCCACTGGGCTCAAACTTTGTTCTGCTGCTTCAGACTAACACGGCTTCCCCACCTGAATTTTACCTCATCTTTCAGTTTTCTTTCCATTTACTTTCATGGTGCAAAATCAAAGTAACAGATTATTGTGTCAATTAGTTCAGATAACCTGTTGTCTCTTTAAAATATTAAAACTTTGGTTCTGTTGAAATATATATTTTAATCAATTATGGTCCCTGCCACACGGCAGGAAAAACGACGGCCGAAGTGCAGCTAATCTGAGCCGCACCAAACTAGAGACGCCGCGGCGGGATCCCATGGATCCCCTGAGCTGCGGCATCGTTGCTCCCCGGCACAATCAGATGCCGGGGAGAAAGCAACGATGGGAGGGGGAGGCTGGCAAACTGCGCATGCTCACACATGCGCAGTTCGGCCAGGAGCCAGGGATGTGCCGGCGAAAGGACGCGCCAGCGATCCCACGGCCGCACTTGCCGCAGCCTTTCCGGATGACCCACCCAGGTAGGTGGTTGTTTTTTGGTGCGGGGTTTTGGGCGGGAGGGATGGATCGGTGACGGGCAGGCAACGCTTCCCAGATGTTGCCGTGGGATCGCGCCCATTTGCTGCGCATCCGTTCCGTCCCTCTCCCGGCCCAAATCCTCGTGTGTGACCGGGGCCTATAACAGAAATTAGTTTGTTAAGCAGAACACAGTATATTAACTAAAATGTACTAAGTCAACAGTGCTTAGTATAGTATATAGCAGCGCTAGATAGTTTTGTATTTGAATTATCATAAGCTTGTTTCATTTTTTTCTTTTTTTGTTTTCTAGAAATAGCAAAGAATAATGGGTAATACATCAAATACTCTGCAAAGCACATTCTACTTATTTTAGGGATAGCGTTGCGTGCAATTTGGGCCCATTGAAATTAATGAAGGTTCTAATGCAATGTACTTCCTGTAAACCTTTATAATTGTGGTTCCCTTAGTGATTATAGTGTATCTTTCTTCCTATCCTGGATCTTTGGAATCAGATTGTTCATCTCTTGATGACAATAAATTCTGTACCCCTTCTTACCCTTTAATGCTTTTCAACTCTGTCTGGAGACAAGTGACAGAGCAATAATTTATTCAGATGTCAAAAAATAATTTGAAAAATGTCAGGTAGAAAAGAAAAATAGGATAGAAGAGAATTACTTTATAAGACATGCAGTTCAGGGTCATGAATTTCCTGGGTCCAAAAAAGTTTTGGCCAATTTCTGTAGTATGGGAACAGTTAAAATAATTCTATAACAAACTTTCCACTCAATTTCTCTTCCCCTAGGTTGTTTTAATTACCATTGTCTTTCTGTAGCAATAGCAAGTAACACTGAAAAGGGCATCACTGACATTCTAAAGAAAAGCATTTCTCTCATCACTCATTCCTAGAAGAAAGTCTGCATGACTGCAGAAATTGATTGGGAGGGGGTAACAATGAATTATCTCTGAGAAAAAGTTTGATCCAACTACATCCAGAGCCATGGGGATTCTTAGTTTTAACTAAATTATTTTTCATCTTTTACTTTTTTCATGTTAACAGATAGGACCTTTTTGTGGCATGATCTATGACTAATGTCCCCAGAATACATAAATTTACACAAGAAATACAGTTCACTGAAGATTAATGGCACAGTCCTGCACACAGTAATGCAAGCTTAAGTCCAATCAAAATTGGCCTTTAGCATATTGCACTGGATGGCCCAAAATTACTACAGAATATATGTAAATATGTTAGAAAATAAATAGGAAGGGACATGCCTATTGTAGTGCCGTAAACCAAAATTTCGGTGTCATTACAGAGACATTGATACAGAGCAATGTTACCCCATTTCTGTTAACTTGGGTTTTAGGCATTGCTTTTATTGCTCGCCCAGTGAACTGCATATGAACCCAGGTTTCCCATGTATTAATCCAGGACTCCCAGTCATTTTCTTTCCCCGAGCCCCCCACTAGTGATAGAAATCCTACAAAGAATAGCTACCTAATTGTAGTTGCCTTTCTCTGTTTTTTGTTAGCACAGAGAGAGAGAACATATAGCTAGAAATGCTTTTGATTGAATATCAACAGCAAATCAGTTTTAACAAGTAATGGTACATCTGTGCTCATGTGGCTTTTTTTTGTTTGTTTAATAGTATTCTTTAATGTATTGTTCTTGAGATGTGGGCACATCAGCTTTAAGATGCAGTTAGCAATATAGCATGTTGTTTGCATTTATCATTTTACAAAAACATTCTTATTTCAAGAGTGATTACAGTCACAGCTTCTTATCAGCTGTAGGCAACCCTAATTTTAAAATTTAAAAGGTATTGTATGTTTCAAGGAAGGCATCTCATTTGTTAGCTAGAGCAGGCTGATAAATTTATCCATTTGTCCCCAAATGAATACACTAATAGCATTCTCATGAATAAGTGACTAATTGCTTACTGTTGTGAAGAAGATCAGTAAATTACTCTCTGTGGATGGTAGGATTTTGGTAATTTATAGGTTTTTCATATTTGCTTATTCTCTGTGCCTCTGGGTGACTTTTTACTGAGAAGGTGAAATGGCAAGGTGAAAAAAATACTATAGCGAAGGTGTTGGAAGAAAGACAGAGTATCACTTTTGTTTCAGTGTTTCCTGTTTCAGATTTGCCATATTGCAGTGAGCTATCTTATGAACACACATGTTGCAGAAAGCTCTCAGAAATGTTAATTCTGAAATTTAATCCATTTAAATTTAATTTACTTCATACCAACAATGCCTTATTTCATTTATCATACTTTTAGCAAAGACTATAATTTATTTTTATTTTTTTATTTTTTTAAAGGTCTGGATATATCTCAGGTTTTTAAGTGCGGGACTGATATAGTACAAGGCATATCAGGCATTCAGTTGGCCTAATTTATGTTCAGAACATATCTACTGCTCCAGTGGCTCAGAGGTTAAGACACTGAGCTGCAGACCGGAAGGTCTGTAGTTCGGCAGTTTGAGACCCGAGTGCTGTGTGATGGAATGAGCTCCTGTCTCTGGCCCCAGCTCCTGCCAACCTAGCGGTTCAAAAGCAAGAAATTGCAAGTAGATAAATAGGTACCACTTCAGTGGGAAGGTAACAGAGTTCTGCGCGCCTCGGCGTTTAGTCATGCCGGTCACATGTGCAGAAACAGCTGGGAAGTGAAACTGACCCTGGAGAAAAGCCCACAACATTTTCCACCTATATCATATGATATCACTTCTGGCTGAGCTTTGTAATCCTGCAGCCGAAGTTGCAGTTTCTGAGGCCCTGGTGGCTGCCCCTTCACCCTCCTCATACCCACTCACTCCTCCTTGAGAAGAAGGCAACCCAGGTACAGCAGCCACCGCCATGTTTGTAAGAAGGAGGCAATGATCACCGTCACTTCCCCTCTGCGAGGAGGTTGGCCCTGGGGCAGCTGTGGCACTGGCCACTGTGTCTGCATCTGAACTGCCCTCCTTCCAAGGAAAAACAGGTGGTGACCCTCTTAGGAAGGAAGAGCTTGTCTGCCTCCAGGGCACCAGTCCTCCAGAAACTGTACCTGTCAATTAAATAGCCAGTCTGTACCTGTTTCCACAATAGGGGCATGATACATATTTGTTTGTTGGACATAAGTATACGCAAAATTTCTGTGTATTCTGCATGAACTTGGAAGTAAATTCAGCTTGTGAGACTGGCCCTGAAATATCCGTGTTAGTCTGTCTGTAGCAGGAGAAAAGAGGAAGAGTCGAGTAGCACCTTAAAGACTAACACAATTTGTGGCAGGGTATGAGCTTTCATGAGTCACTGTTCACTTCATCAGATACGTATCTGAAGAAGTGAGCAGTGACTCATGAAAGCTTGTAGCCTGTCGCAAATTTTGTTAGTATTTAAGGTGCTACTCGACTCTTCCTCTTTTCTACTACTCAGAGTTGTCTTTTTTCAGACTCATTTAACTCATCAAGTTCTTCAGCAAGGATAATTGTCAAGCCTGGCATTTAAATTGTTTCCCATACTGATGTCAAAATAATAAACTGTCTCCTTTCAGAAAGAGCAATTTAGGAATCAGACTAATTAGATCAATAGTGCAAACTAAGAGAAATAGTAGAAACTGGAAAAGGCCAGGATAATAAATTGAATCTCTTCTCATGTAACTTACTCTGGCTTGTATTCTACCACTCCGCTCAACAAAGTTGGAAAGCTTCCTGTGATGGAAGTGGTTCTTCTAATGTTACCAGAAACAATAATGCTATTCATTTGTCACAATCTCAGGTATGATAATTATGGAAAGTAATTTCTAAATATTCAATAGGTAACTTTCCTTCCTTTAAATAAACACTTAAATACTGGTTGACAAGAAACCGGCTGGTTGACAAGAAACAAACTAGATTTCCATCAAGCATTTGACAACCCAAATTAGTAAGTTTAGGTACTGTGCCCTACCATCTGTTATTCCCTTTAGCAGTGCCAGGCTTTAGAGATTGTCCCTAAAAATGATCTACATGTAATCTTTCATTCATGAAGCATGAAGAAGTAACCTTTTGACTGATTTGTTGTTTCAGGACCAATGCAAGAGACAATATATGACTTCTGGAGAATGGTCTGGCATGAAAATACAGCAAGCATAGTCATGGTGACAAACCTTGTGGAAGTGGGAAGGGTAAGACGATTCTGTTATTGTTATTTTTTTCAGTGTTTCAGATGAGTCAGCAATACAAGAGTATGCTGAATGTATAAAATATTGAGTCTTTTTGCTATTTTAGTTCTAAGAAGTGAGATACAAAGGGGCCAAGGCAATATCTGGCTTAAGTATATGTCTGTGAGGGTTTCTATTACAGATTAACTGAAAGTTTTTTCTGGAATTTTCTAAGCTAGAAACGGGTGGGGGGGAATCTCATAAAGTTGTGACCCTTCACTCACCATCCATTGACGTGCTCCTGTATGGTCCTGGCTGCTACTGCACACCAGCATTTGTTCCTTTTTTTAAAATCACAAAATGAGAGATTAATTTTGCTGTAGAGATCTTCATGTAGCCAAATCTCATTGGCTATTCAATGACATTTGTCTGTGTGGCATCATCAGAAAGTATTGCCCTCACCCTGACACTTTATGAGTTAAAAAATAAAAAGAAGAACATAAGAAGACCCCTGCTGTGTCAGACAAATGATCCATCGAGTCCAGAATCCTGTCTCTCACAGTGGCCAACCAGTTCTTCTGTAAGGCCAACAACAGGGCATAGAGGCCGAGACCTTCCTATGACATTGCCTCCTGGCTCTGGGATTCAAAGGTTTAGTATCTCTGAATGTGGAAGTTCCCCTCAGTCACCATTCCTAGTAGCCACTGTTAGACCTATCCTCCATGAATCAATCTAATCCCCTTTAAAAGATAAGAAATATCTTTAGTATAGTATCCCAAGATAGAGATGGGCACGAACCTAAAAATTCTGACTCAGGATTTGGGGTGGGCCCTAAACCAAGCCAAAAGTCCCCAAACCGAACTGGCAAGCCGCAGTTGGGAGAAAGGCAAGAGATCACCCATCTGTTTCACTTCCCCCCTGCACCAAAACGACAGGTTTAATGGCTTGCAGACATTTCAGCCTAACGGCTAAAAGGTGGACCAACCCCACTGTTAGGTTAAAATGGCTGGCAACTATTTCAACCTTAACAGCGGGTGGGTGCACCTGTCAGGTGTTAAGCTGAAATGGCTGGACCAGTGAAATGGCAGCCAGCCATTTCACTGGTCCATTTTGCTCCCCCCCCCCCGCCTTGGGAGCCCATACCCCTGCCTTGGAAGCCGATAGCCATTTCGATCTAACAGCAAGGACGGTGCGCCCGTCAGCTGTTAGACTGTCATCAAAAGTCTGGTAAATGTTTGGGGAAGGGGGCTTCCCCGAACATTGGTTTGGGGGCTCCAAACCGGCCCAAGTTCATGTTGAATTTTGGCTAGTGAGCCAATTCATGTCCATCCCTATCCCGAGGTATCCTAAGAATTGTATCCCAAGGTAAAGGAGAACTTTCTTTCCTCAGCTACTTGGTTGTGAAACAGTCACACTAATCATAAATGTAATATACACTATAAATGTGAAAAAAACTTTCACCTGAGTCATAATGGATTAGGTCCAAAGGACTATAAAGGGAGCCAGACTCACAGAATGAGTCTTTGCTGCCTTCCCCTTTCCATTACAACACCTTGTGCTCCCAGAAATGTGGTTCCTGGTTGTTAGGCAGCCCCTTGAAAATAGCATGGAATATAGTGTTGTAGTCTGCAGTAGGAAGGGTGAATGACTGAGAATCAAATTACCCCAACCCCAGTGTACAAAAAAAGTGCCATTCCACTTGTGTAATAGAAACTTTGGCTCTAATCCTGTTGTAGGACATTCTTCCACAATAGTTAGCCATAAATGTCCTTAGACATTTGGGTAATTCTAGCTAATTTCACACACACACACACACACAAACTTCTTTCCAAATAGAAAGGAATTCCTATTATTCTTCTGTGGCTTCAAATACACTATCGTGCATATACCTAGGTGAGAGTTAGGAGTTCTGCCTAGCAACTAATTTTAATTCCCTAACTACTTTCTGGGTTGGCCAGATTCTCTAGGTATAGCTTAATGAATCTGTGTTTCCATAGATATGGAAATAATGAGCAGAAGGACTTAATTCCATAAGGAATACATATATTCCTTAATACATTTGCACTTTTATCTTCAAGCAAGACTCAAAGAAGCTTTTAAATTATTTTAAATGGTCAACCTGTATTCTACTGTATCAGCAGCATCGATGAAGGTTAGGATATTTAACGTGGACCAGGGAGTAAGCTGTTCAGTTTCCTAACAAAATCTCAAACTTCATCAACTATGTTGTCAACACTTCCAGAAACAGCATATTTATTAACTGCTGAAAGAGTAGAAAATTGCAGATACACTTTGATGGAGCTAAAACAGTTATGATGCATGTTTTTAATTTCTTAGCAACAGAGTTCTTTATAATTTTTCCACGAAAAATAGATGTGTGGACTATAGCATGATCAATTTCTAAGTAATATGAGTAAATGTGTCGTTTCTATCTTCCTTTATTGTAAATTCAATTTTCATTTGGTGTTTAGAATGGGGGGGGGCGCTCATGGTTTATTGGGAGTTTAAATTCTACTGCTTAGACATCTAAGTGCCTGAGCCTCCTCACAAATCAGGCAACAGGACCACATTTGGACAACAAAGCAGTACAGATTTGTGAGTATAATTAAGTGGTTACAAAATCTCAAAGATGCAGCCATTTGGGATGACAAAAACAGTCGTCCTGAGGCCCTTCAGGACCAAGTGGAAAAGTAAATTGTCTTTTCCACTGACATGCAAACTGAAGGGAAAAGTAAGACCATTTTATTGATATGCAGTGTACCGGTATATTGTGTCTATGTTAAACCATATTTCATGAACTGTAATGCATTTGAGAGATGACTAAACCCAGTGTACATCTAAAACATCCCTTTTGGCTAGACATAGTCCATTTCTCAGCTCACTGTCAGCTTTGCATCTGTGACAGAGTAAGATTCCCCAGTGATTCCATTGGTGGGGAAGAGCTGGAGATGGCAAGGCACTTCTTTGTGATTATGGGGTTCTTACGCAGCATGCCAGAAATACCTTTTCGCTCCCAGTTTGGCTCTCAAGGGGCAGGATTTTCTCTCCACTCTTAGTAGAGTGCTTAGAGCAGCAATTAGCTGTTCTCTATTTCTCCCCCTCCATCCTGACCTTAATTAAGGTCAAGTTTGTTGGGCTTAGCTTCTTCACCACCCCAAAGCCAGATATATGACTATCTGCTGAACATAGGTGCTTTTCTCTACTCCCGCAGTCCCCTTTATCCTTTAGGAGGCAGAAGGGAGCAGTGCACAGCTGCAGCTCTGGACTGCTATTGACACCTGTCTCAAGGCAAGAAAATGCTATAGCCCAGCCACAGTTGGCTCTTTTCCCTCTAACTGCTCCATCATCCTTCCCAAGACAAGAAGACTTTGTTTCGAAATATATCCTGCCCTTCCTGCAAGCGGGCTCAGGGCTTGTCACAGCAATAAATTACAATCAATGAACAGTTAGAGAAATAAATATCAAACAGTTAAAAGGTATGCATTGCAACAATTACATATTCAGCAATCCTAATAGCTGGGAACAATTGGGCCATGGCTGAGTCAGAGAGATCTTATTAATAGCAGCCAGGGTCTCCCCTTCCCTCACCCAGGTCTCGGTCACGCACGCCAGGTCCGCCTGCTGTTCCGTCACAAAGTCCCGTAGGGTTGTGACTTTGTTATTAATGGACCTGGCGTTACACAGCACCAAGGTTTCCCTTTTACTCCCAAACTGAATCCAAAGCATGGTGAACTTTGTGCACTTTCACACCGTATGCTGATTTATTGCCCACAAGAAATGTTTTGGCAGACAAGTCCCTTAACAGTTGGGTGACTATAGGCTTGACAGGTGGTTTGGTGAGCACTATAAGAACCATATTAAGGTTTCAGGGCAGAAACCTGTGGTCACTAGGAGACTAACTTGGAGGCAACTCTTAGGAATATACGTGTGTGTGTGTGTGTGTGTGTGTGTGTGTGTGTGTGTGTATATGTTTCCCTCTGCTGTGTCCCAGGTTGCTAGAGGTGGCCGCTGTATGTTGCCTCAGTGTGTATGTGCTTAGCTCCCTTACCCAAGCTTCCTTGAAGGAATTTGAGAAAGTAACTTATTTTGGGGTTGTTAAGATCCTTCTGTCCTGACTTCCCATGCTTATCATGTGATGTCTATTCTGCTAGTTGAGGAATTACAAGAGGCAAGACAGATGAATGTGGTGCTGCCTGAATACTCAAGTCTCAGTACTGCCACGCTCCTCTTTCAGTGGAAGACCTACTTAAGTTGAATGAAAGGTCCTTAGACTGGAGGAAGGCTCTTTGGAGGAAGGTTGGATCCACACCATTGAGAATGAAACTTCACAGTGAATTTCAGTTTTCTGTTTCTGTCTGACGCACCTAGGTCATCACTCACCATGCCATTACAAAAACCAAAAAGTGAATTATGCATCTTGGTGATCTGCTTTGCCACAAGCAGTAAACTGTATCACAGCACAATCCCAAATTTTCCATATTAGAAGCAAAAAATAATAATAATAATTCTTAAAATCAGCTTGTTCGTGCAGTTGATCTTGTTGTTGCTGTATATCACACAAATCCATGTGGTTTGTCAGATTTTACTATATTTATAAGTGAACAATGGCCAGCTTAAATCCAAACCTGTAGAATCTTACTCATGCTATAGTTGTTACTAATAACATTGACCTCGCAGGCAGGGATAGCCTGGAGCAATATTCCCTCTAAGCAGTGGAGTCTTGCGAGCAAAAATTCAACTTGGTGAACTACCGGCATTCAAATTGTGAGCAACTGATTTGGCTGCTGCATAAATCAGTTTGCTCTGGAGCCCTCCTTCCTGAGTTGAGGCAAAAATGGGTGAGTCGGAGGCTAAAAAACTATGAGCTAGCTCACACTAACTCAACTTAGAGGGAACACTGGCCTGGAGCTTGTCTCTTCTTAGATTAGAATGCAAAGGAGTGCCTATAATAAGAGAGCCAGCCTAGTGCTGTGGTTAGAGCAGTGCCGGATTTACGCTAAATAAGCTACAGCTTAGGGCCTCGC